AGAGAGAGAGAGAGAGAGAGAGAGAGAGAGAAAGAGAGAGACTGAGACTGACTGACTGTATCCTACTAAGGCTGAGGCCAGTTGAGTGTGGGTTCCAGGTTATCCTGGACTATATAATACTCAAAAAAGCAAATACACCAGTTAATAATACAAGTTAACTTAAAAGACTCAAAAACAAAATCAAGAAACCAAATGATAAAGTTCTGGCACTAAAACACATTTAAAACTCAAGTTTTAGCTGGGCAGCGGTGGTGCACGCCTTTAATCCCAGCACTTGGGAGGCAGAGGCAGGCGGATTTCTGAGTTCGAGGCCAGCCTGGTCTACAGAGTGAGTTCCAGGACAGCCAAGGCTACACAGAGAAACCCTGTCTCTAAAAACCAAAACAAACAAACAATTCAAGCTTTTATTAAAGCCACTGTTTCAATATTATAAGAAAGTTATTAATTTAAAATGTTTACTTTACTATGGCTATGTGTGTCTGCGTGTGTGCTGACGAGTGCCTTCTGACCTGGAGTTACAGGCTTTTGTGAGCGGCTGGGTTGGGATGCTCAGATCTTGGCTCTGAGTTTGTCTCTTGTTAATTGCTGAGCCATCTCTCCAGCCCATAAAATTACTGATGCATTTATTTATACAAGATCCAATTCCTTTCAAATACATATGAAAGAGCAAGCCCTGTAGAAGTGTTTGGGGAATGGAGACACCCTAGGGTCATATTTTCATGCATTCGATACTCAGTATTTAAAAGATGTTCAAAACCATCTGCGTGTGACATCTCATCTCTTAAGCCATCACAGATAAAAGGTGACACACGTAAAAAAAATTGCTCCATGGTGCTCTCCAAACCAGTAATGTCTCTTCAGTCCTATGACACTAGCAGCTAGGCCGCTTATTTTATGTAAATGGTGTCTTTAGTGACACACCAGTAAGGTTAAGAATCCATACAGCAATTGACTGACGCAACATTCGGAAAATGAAACAGAGAGAAGTGTGGTTTCTATTCCCAAAGCCTCTGGGCCACGGATGGAACAGGCCAATTACCTAGCAAAACTTCTCTAAAGATGACCGTTCTGGGACTACAAAGACAGAGGTGAAGGGGCCAAGTTCTCCAGCCTGGGAGTTAGCAGAAAATATAATTTATCACAAAGTAACTGGCTCAAGAAATATGTAATGGTCTCTACAGCAATACTCCTTAATATAAGGGCAATATAAAGGCCAACAGGAAGAAATATTTTGATAAGCAATTAGTAACTTTAAATGCCATTGAAATCTTTAAAAAGTAAAATCCCCCTCCGCCCCCAGTCACTGTCAACAGATTAACATTACTCAGATTTTGAGAACCATAAAGCTGTTTTCTTTTTTAAAAGAGTCCCTCGTTAACTACACCGTAGGGGAAAGAGGAACACAGACAACATCCTAAAATCGACAGCACTTTACAATAACTTCCGTCCACATTAGGATTTGAAAGGGTCTATTGTAGCTCAAAAAGAGATCTGAAAGTGTCCTAGTTGCTCAGATGACAAGGTTTTATATGAGAAACAAAACGTTTTTAGGCACCGAAAATAAACGAGACACCAGAAAAATGTGACCCTTGGGAAAAAAGCTCAACCAAAGTCGCCCTTACTAGCGAGGTAGAAGCACCACTCTCCAACTGTTTTTACTTCCAACTAGGTTATCTCTTCTACGAAGCAGGTCAAGAAATCAAAGTGATCCGCTGATAAGTAAATACAAAACTTTGCTTCTAACCCCAGGGGCAAGACTACCGAGCAACATTCCCTCTCTTCAAAGAATGCAACATCCCGTCTCTCTAAAGAAAACACACGAAGAGACAAGAAACCTTTTTATCAAGGTGTTCGTTACCTTTTCTTTTAAAAAGAAAAAATCACAACTAAAAAAGTGTCAGCGTGCACTTGTGGGGGAAAGGAAGCCAGGAGCACTCTGGGTTAGCATCCGGGCTCTGCTGCACCCTACAAACACCAAAGATGCATTCGATTCAGACGCAGAGAAAGCCGCTGCACTGGGATCCCGGGAGTGGGTGCAGAGCCCAGGTTTCAGAGAGGACCGCGTTCGAGCCTCGGGTGGGAAACCACACTGATTTGCCGTGCCGGGCATCCCTCCCGATCGCTGCCCTCAATGTCTCTGGGTGCAAACTCGCGCAGAACGCGTCGGTGGCCGGCTTGCCGGGTTCTGGTCCAGGGGCGGAGCGCCACTGCCGGACGAGCCGAGTTGGGTCATCCCCACGCCGCCCCGCCCCAGCCCCGCAGCCCCGGCCCCGCGGCCCAGGCCCACCTTTGATGCCCGCCATGGCGGTGACGTCGCTCCTGGCTCCACGACCCGGGCGGTGGCCGGGAGACCCGAGACGCGCGGCGGCGGCCAGACAACACCCGGAAGTGCACGCCGCTGCACTTCCGCCGGCGGCTCGCGCGGGGGCGTGGGGGCGCGCGAGGCCGGTCTGGGGCCGGCCTCCTTCCTTCGCCGCTGCGGGGCGACCCGGGACGTGCGGGGCCGGTCTGTGGTTCCCGTCAGGTCCCGGAGGCAGCACCGGCCTGAAGTCCCGGCGATCTCGGGAAGAAGAGCTCGTGATCTCTGCGGGATCGCTTCACGTTCTGCACTGCGAGCCCATTTCTCCTCCCACCACCCAGTCTGTGACACGGGGACACGGGCAATGGGTGCTCTCTGCTTCTCTCCTTGGGTTCCTACACAGATCCACATCTCATGAGAGCCCCCTTACTCCCCCAAGGCTTCAGCGGGCCGAGTCACGGGTGGGAACCTAAAGATGCATCCTCTTGGGAGTCTGAGAGCTTTTCTGTCTTCTTGGTGACAAAAGGGCTTGGGGGCGAGGGCTCCCCGCAGAGATCCGATATATTTATGTAAGCTTCCCACATAGCATATGCTGGGGAGCCCGTTAGGCATTGGGATGAGCAAAACCAGGTGTAGTTTCTGCCCTCCGGTTGTTTGCAGACTAGAAAGAGAGAATACGCGAAAGAGAGCAAAAATGCAACAGAGATAATAGCTAGCAAGAGGGATCTGCACTCCAAAATACACCACTGGAGCGGAAAGTAGACTTTAGCTGAAGTCAATTAAAAAAAGAGAGAGACGTTAGAAGGGGGAATTGGCTGCGCTCTTTTTCTGTACAAAAGCAGACCGTGCAAGTTTCTACTTGTAAAGGTAGCCGGAACTTCCTTTCCCCGTGTTACATGAAAAGATATTTGCAACACAAAATTTCCCATTTGTAAATATTTTCATTTCAGAGGAAGAGACGGATGTCTCTGTAAGCAGCAGCAATTGGAGTTTGTAGAAATGTTACAGAAATAGCCCTTTATCTCCCTTAGTTCCCCACCCCACCCCCCAAAGCCCAAATTTCTTCCATTTAGTTGCTTTCCCACAATGTTTTGCCTCTTGTTAAAATGCCTTCTAGGCTCCCAGACCTAGCCTTTGGAGCCTTGCTAAGCTTGTGAAATACACTACTCTTCCCTTTAAATTGCCCTTACAGCTGCTAATAGTCTCTGCCGTTGAAGCTGAGAAGTCAGAGACAACCTTTATTCTAGAACTATCTAGGAAATAGAAGATGCAGGAAATAGTCCTTTGGTTTGATCTGACAATTCTTTTAATGGAAAGACAAAGTTAGGTTGTGTATGTGTGTGTGTGTGGGGGGGGGATGGGGGGATCATGCTTTCTGCCAACAAATGGAACAAAGAGCTTAGAACCTTGGAGAGAGGAGAAGCCAGTGGGTTGGTCAGGGTTGTAGGCCCTATCCAAGAAGTTTTGGAATTTATACTAACACAGACTGAAAGGGAGTCATCCTATAAGTTTATTGGGTGAGAACTGAAACTGGAAGTCAGGAGGACATGGGCATATTAAGATCATAACAGGGAAACCAGGCTCAGGAATTCATGGAGAAGGAAAGACTATGGAAAGAGTGTATCTCTTGTCTGAACCTCATAAAGCTTTGCATATTTAACAATGAGATGTCCTGGCTCTATACCAACCTATCACAGGATTCCTGGTGTGTGTATGTGTGTGTGTGTGTGTGTGTGTGTATGTGTGTGTGTGTGTGAAAGGCCTCCTGACTCTGTTTCCCAATGTTGACCTAGCCCACTCTACTGTCTGCCTCTCTACCTCTTCATCTGTCAGGACCTGGACCTGATTCTCCATTTCCTTCTCTGGACCCCGCTCGCCTTGTTCACATTGTAGCTAATTTCTGCAGCTTCATTCTCAACCCCGAGTTCCAGTGGCACGGGTCTGGCTTGTTGTTTTAGCAATACAAACTTGATCCATTCCTGAAACTCTTGAATTTTGCTTCAGTCTCTTTAACATGTATTCATTCTGTAACCCATGTATATGTATAGAGACACATAAGTGTATTATGGTATGTTGTGTGGTATTTGGGTTAATATTAGTAACCCAATATTAGTAAGATTGGAATAAAGAACTTGACTTTACCTAGTCTAAGATACTAAGGTAGGCAGATTTTATGGTAAATTACTTCCGTTGAAATCACTAAACTTGGGCTGGAGAGATGGCTGAGTGTTTAAGAGGGCTGGGTGATCTCCCAGAGGACCCAGCTTCAATTCACAGCATCTACACGGCAATTCACAACTATCTGGATCTCCAGTTCCAGAGGATCTGATGTGCAAAAAATAATAAAGAAGAAATCATTTTTAAAAAGGGAACCACTAAGCTTTGTGATTTTATTATTATTCAATAAATTATGACATCTCCACATTGTGGAAAGACCTCAAAGCACTCATCTGTTTTTCTGGCGTTGTACACTCCAGACATAAAATTGTGGAGACGTCAATGATTCTGTCTCAGATGTCACCACAATGCCCGTCCTCCTTTTGTTCTGCGGTGTTCAGTCTTTGAAAGCAAGGATGGTGGTGTGCCTATTGCTGAGTGTGGTTGGAAAGTAATAGCTTCGTCTCGAGGCTTGTAGCTTGGCTCCAAGGGAGTGCATTTTAAAAAGTACTCTGTGAAATAGCTCCCAGAAGTTCCTGCGCTTAAATTATATCCCCTAATTTACTTGAATACAAATGTACTGAGCACTAGATGCCTTTGATGACATTAAAGACAAACAGAGTGCTTGTCTGGCCAGAGGGTTCTATATATTTCTGCTCCCACAGTAACAGAATGATAGCACATTGCCGACTTTTAACTTTCCCAGTCTTTGTAGCAAAACATTCAGACAAAACCTAACATTGTAATAGCCACTTAAAGGTCTACTTTTGTCTCCCAATAATGTCTAAGGATAAAAAAAACAAACCAACACCGCCACTTACTCGTCACTCACATGACTAATTTGGTTTCCTGATACTGCCTAGGGACCGGAAACTTGAAACCTCAAAAATGTTGTTTTCAAATGTTGTGTTCAAAGAACCCCTCCCTATAACAGAATTCTTGGGGATGTCTTTTAAACTCCCTGGTTCTACTTTACATGATCTGAATTAGACACCTTTGTGGGCAAAGCCCAGAAACATAAATTGTTAAGATGCATCTTGAACAGTTGCTGTGCAAGCTATAGCTTGAAAAATCATTGCCTCCCCCCCCCCCACACCACCAGGGGAAGATGGTTTGGAGGTTTCTTCAGTTTTTCAAGCAGTTCCTTCACACTTGCTAATATCATTTAAGTGTTCTTTAAGTGCCCCATATACTAGTAACTCCTCTTTACCTTTCATGACTTTCTAGCCTCTAAAATTAAGCCACAGAGATGAGGTAAGAGACTTTTCTTGTTAAGTGGGCAGCTGCTGTGTATCTAGTGCTTTAGGGTATGTTTGGGGCTGGACAGATGGCTCAGTGGTTAAGAGCCCTCGATGCCCCTTCAAAGGATCTGATCCAGTCCCTGACCCCACACTGTGGCTTACAACCACTTGTAATTCTAGTTGCAGGAGGTCCAATGCCATCTTCTGGACTCTGAGGGCACCAGGCACACATGGGGGTGCATATGCATACATGCAAACACTCTTGTGAATGTAGAAATAATTCCTTAAAAGAGTTGTATCTGATTACCTTTTTCATAAGATTATTTTCTTCATCAGATATGATAAAATATATTATTACTAGCTAGGGATTCTAATCTTTACAGACCAACTCACAAAGCACAGAGGTTTTAGTTTTTGTTTGAAAACCTTTTATTATGGAAAAACTTAAATGCAGTATATGAAAAGTACCAACAACATTATAGTGGACTCCTATACAGCATGGGGTACTTTCAGCTCTCAACAACTGGTTAGTTGCTTTATTTATTCTTCCTACTCATGTCCCCTTCTCCATATTTTTTTCTTCATTTTATTCTGAAGCACATTCCAGACATGCTTGCATTGTGTGTGTGTGTGTGTGTGTGTGTGTGTGTGTGATAGGTTTACAGCTGGAGAGCCGGTGAATCTTGTATCATTACATTGGATTTGAGACTGGCGCCCAAGTGTGGGGTAGCTGTATATACTTAGCCATGAACTTATGATATCTGACACTCTCAGAAGACATACCAGAATTAAAATGATGTTAATGAGAGCAGCGTGGTATCCAGTTGAGAACTGTTTGCTGCGTAGATAAATTCTTCCATAACACGTTAGGCCACAGAAATATTCTGCACTGTGCCAACAGAGAGGAGAAAAGACTCCCTCCTCCCATAGGATCATGTGATTTAGATCCCAGCTCCACCTAGCTTCTGCAAGGATCTTACCCACCATTCTATCCATTATGGCAGTACCCAGCATTCTATCCATTACGGCAGTACCCACCGTTCCATTCATTACGGCAGTACCCACCACATCACCTGCTTTCTGTCAGGGTGCTCATTATTTATTTGGCTCAGTTCCCCTTAGAATATAAACTAGGACACCCTTTCATGTTTTAAAATCACAGTCTAGAACTATAAATGATATGGTGGGGGCTCAGATGATAGATGTTTTCTTATAAAGGTAATTAGGTGATTCTACATTGCAAAATCCAAAAGCCACTTTTATTCCTGCTCCAATTTTCCAGCAACAGTGGCCAATTCTGATCATTTTCTCTCTCAATACCATATTGCTACTTCCCTTTTCTATTTCCTTCTTTTACCCTTTTTATTCCCTGTCTCTCAGTCTCTGTGTCTCTGTGTCTGTCTGTCTCTGTGTGTGTCTGTCTCTCTGTGTGTAGGGGATGGGGAGAGGTGTACCATGTAGTGGTTAGAAGAGAGCTTTATGGGGTTCTCTCCCTTAACCTTAATATGGTGTCCTAATTTTCATTTTATTGCTGTGATTATAAACTTCTGATCAAAAGCAACCTGGGGAGGAGTTTATTTCATCTTATAGCTCAGCCATCACTTCATTCTTTGAGGAAAGTCAGGGCAGGAACTCAAAGGCGAGAACCTGAAGGCAGGAACTGAAGCAGGGGACATTGGAGGAACA